AATGCCAGCAGCTCACAAAGTCGAATTTTTGCTCACAAGACTCCACAGCTTAGAGGGAACATTGCTCACAGGGCGTCTGTTGTGGGGAGGGGAAGGGAAAGAAGATTGTAAGCCGCTCTGAGACTCCTTCAGGTAGTGAAGGGCGGGTTATAAATCCTATATCTTCTTTTATTTGCTCCCAAGGGCCTCCAGATCAGGAAAACTGATCGTGGGATGGGGTTAAGCCCCCTCCCCCCTCCACTCCACAATCCCCATCCGAATTGTCTCAGATCTGCATGCTCAGTAGGAACTCACAAAACGATGTCAGGCTGAAAATCCTCCTGGCTGACCCAGAGACCACCATAGCATATAGGCTGTTGACCCATCATTACATCTGGTTTCGCTCTAGAGCTTCACAGCTGAGCAGGGCTTCGGACCCAGTTTCACGTCCAGCACACTGTCCACCGGCACACATATCAGAGGTTAGTCTCAATGATGCCTTTTGTGTCCTGTGTAAAAAAAATACTTTCAACAACACTGGTTGGTTGGTTGGTTGGTTGGTTGGTTGGTTGGTTGGTTGGTTTACCGTCAAGTTGCAGCCAGCTTCAGATGACCCTTCATGGGATTTGCAAAGCAAGAGACATTCAGAGGTGGGTTGCCATGGCCTGCCTCTGCACAGCAATCCTGGGGGTCCTTAGTGGTCTCCCATCCAATTATCAGGAAGGCTGAACCTGCTTAGTTTCCAGGATCTGATGAGACTGAGCTAACCTGGGCTATCCAGGTCAAGGAACACAGATGAGATGCTCCTTAATCTTTCGGCCACATCCACCCATCATGACTGCCATGGGGTCTAGGGGTATAAGATGGCGGGCGGTGCTTTGATCACACTGGGTGCCTGGGGAACTGGACCAGGTGCCACATAGATCCAGCGTCCCAAATATGTGTGGGGTAAAGCTGCAAGGTCCTTTCATCGCTCCAGCAGGGGGGTTCGGGAGCATTCTGGGACACCCCCAACATGATGGTGTCACCCAGAAGTGACGTCATCACCCTGGGGGTACCACACAGGGACACTCTGGTTTAAGGGGAAGACTCTACGGTAAAACCGGCTTAAAACCATAGAGTTTTGCCCTCGAACCAGAGTGTCCCCACATGACGTCCCCGGCATGATGACATCACTCCCGGGTGACATCCTGTCGGGGAAGTCACATGGGGACTGGGCTGTTTCGAGGAGAGGTTTCAGCAGAAGCCGCCAAAACCAGGGGAACTCCTGCATGGCGGGAGGGAGGGCAGATTTCTTTGTCCGCGGATCCATAGCAGCTCAGAGCAGGCCTACCCAGAAGAACCTCATTCCTACCTCATGCTTTCCATACCAGCGGTTTCGTCCACTGTCACAGTTGTGGATTCAAAATCACATTCAGGGACTCTATTCAAGGAATGTAGAGGAGCCACTGACCTCCGCAGCCCCCACCCCATTTCAGACTGTGTAAACAGTCTTGAAGAACACCACGGCCTTTTGCTAAGGCCAGAATTATGCATTACAAAGAATGTATGGCTTCTACCCAAAAGAACAGCTCTTTCTCACTCTCTCCATGATGCTACAAAGCATTCGACATCATCTTGATTCAGGTGTCACACACATCCCCACCGGATGCCAAACAGTGCCTGGCAACTGGCAGGAGGATTGGAGGGGGGGGTGGCATCCCAGGAGAAAAATTAAACAGAAAAATAAGGCCTGAGCTACTTCTAGGAAGTTCTGACCATAGAGTTCCTGGTGATTCCTAGAGCTGTCCAGAAGCGACAAGGGTAGCTGTAGGAATCACCAGGAACTCTATGGTCAGAACTTCCTGTACGTAGCCCAGACCTTATTTTTCTTTTTTAACTCCCCCCCCCCCAGAAAATTGTGTTTTGGCTCCAGTTTCTGCCCACCAATCAGCTGAGCATTGGAAGGCAAGGGCTGCCAATTGCCAGGAGGTCTCTCGCCATAAGAGAGCCAATGGGAACTCTGGTGGGAACATCTGAAGAGCAATAATGTCAGGTTAAGACACTGAGCTGCCAGGCCGGAAGGTCTGTAGTTCAGCCATTCGAGACCTGAGTGCCGCATGACGGAGTAAGCTTCCATCTCTGGCCCCAGCTCCTGCCAATCTAGCAGTTTGAAAGCAAGAAACTGCAAGTAGATAAATAGGTACCACTTCAGTGGGGAGGTAACAGTGTTCTGTGCGCCTTGGCGTTTAGTCATGTCAGCCATATGACCACGGAAATGTCTTCGGACAGCGCTGGCTCTTCGGCTTGGAAACGGAGATGAGCACCG